CAGACACTGGGAGAAAGAGATGGTGCAGCAGTGTGTTTTACAAGTAAAACTGTATTAAAAGTTAGAATGTTTTAAACTAAACTGCATGCAATTTAAATAAATACTATATATTCATTTATAAATAATAATTCATTTACAAATGACCACATTTTTTATGGTAAAAAGCAATTAAAAAATACCTACCTAAATGTGTCAGATTGATACATTACAAGCCTATATTTTAATGTAATCACTTTGTTTCTAATTTTTGTTAGTAATGTACACTAGATTTGAATTTATTTGTTGGTACAGGACACTATAGTGTATCAATTTAGGTGAGGACAGAAAAATAAAGTAAACTGTGACATGTTAGAAAACAATTTTTGATGTGTCAGGGACAATGGAGGTGAGGATCCATGTGCAGTTTTATTAAACATAATCATCAAACAGGCAATGGTCGAAACAGGAATAGACAGGAGCATGCAGAAAATCCAAAATGTAGTAAAAAAAAAAAAAAAAACAGCCAAAAGTTTGGGATAAGCTGCAAAACAACAAAAAACAATAAACAAAGCAAGGGTCAAAAACACAGCAAAGGCAAAAAAAAAAGGAGGACGCTTTGAATTGCTCACTTACAGCGCTATATAGTCAATGTCATAATGTAATAAATCTATTATGGACTTCCAGCTGTGGTTGTGTAATCAGAAAGAGAACTGGAATTGATGTGTGAGATTGTAGTTCTCAACTGCAACACCTAGATCGCTGATGATCGTGACACCAGGTTGTATGATTTTTTTGTGATAATTGAAATATGTTCAATTACTGTAAATGTTCTCACAGTTTAATGGAATTTGTTAATTTGTTAAAGTGTTTGGACTCTGAATCACTGAATCACCATTGCTCACCATTTTCTGAATAACCATTGCTCATTTGTCACTAACCCTTTGCATTTGCAGAGCAGAGCTACAATGAAATAGATCTGCCGGCATCTGGTGACTCGTGACCTTTCCAAAATGGCCAATGTACAGATGTGTGGAATTGTAATTAATTATCTAAGGTAACTAATTATCTAGCCATTTACATCAATGACCTAAAGCACCAACCTGATGCTCTCCATTTCAGCCAAAAGACAACATGCTAGCAAAAGGCTGTGAAGATGTCATTAAAACACACAACATGCATCCAAACCACATTGAGGATCATGCACATTGACTCACAGAATGACTCATAAAGTACGCATAATGTACGACGCTATTGTGTGTGAAATATGAAAACACGACGCGATTATTGCATCAGATAATAGTGACCAAAACACAGCCAGTTGCTCTTTTTTTCGCAGATAGCGGAATGATGAGACCACTGTGCATGCCGTTTTGATCCTGCTGATGGGAGAGATTGAGAGACGAGCCAAAAAATATCACACACACTTAAACGACAACAACACAACAGCCTGCAGAGATAATGATATTCCATCCTCCGCTGCAGTAAAAAAAAAAAAAGCCGGCCTTATTTGAATACCTCCATCCGTTTTACATAGAACATCGAGCTACTGTATATAATAAATATTGATAGGTCTGGGAACATCTAGACAACAAATCCGCAATCAGCATTTAGAAAAGCTGGAAATGCTACACTATTGCTTATAGCGCAAAACATTCGAGTACAATCAGTGTTTCACAGACGGTTGAGCTCAGGTGAAAGGAATACACAAGCTTGCAGTGGCCCTGTTAAGCACTGAGCAGACAGGATGAAATGTACATTACAGATGACTGCATTAGATAACTGCATCAAAACGCCTCAGCATTGTGCAGGATTCTGAGGGACCTTGAAGGGTTTTGCAAGACGAGAAGCGAGACAATTATTTTCTTTCTTTTAATGGGCTTGTCAAAGGCTGCTTTCTGCTCGCTAAGAGGGGCCCAGGATGTCGTCTTTTATGTTGGCTGCCTGTTTCCCTTCTCTCTGCTTAAAAAAAATGCTCTGGAAGAAGAATCTGTGCTGTGACATGTTGACAAAGTAGTCATGATTCTTCTCCCTGACTGTCGATTTTAAAAAGCAGCGCGTTTAGTAAGAGAAACAGTCGGATTCTGGAAGTGACAAAGACATTCCTCGAAGGTAAATTAGTTTTGAAAAACTTTTTTAAAGAAGACTTGAAAATCATCTTTAATGGTGTACTGTAATATTTCCATAAAAAAAAACTACATTACCCATTGTGCTGCATGAAAACTTTCACTACTTCCATCAAGTTTGCAAGTAGGCTGCCTTCTGCACCTAGACTGCAGCTCTGAACAAGAAGTTTGGCCATATGAGAAACGGTCGTGTCCAACTGAGCCTGGTTTCACTCAATGTTTTTCCTTCACTTTCGTCAATTGGTGAAGTTTGTTCCTTAACGCTGTCCACACTAGCTTGCGTGGTTCGGGACTTGTGGAGCTGGATTTGATGAATGGATTTGCTCTGCAGTGTTTGGACTTTCAGCAATGAAAATAAAAACCACACTGAATTGAACTAAACTGAACTTCAACTCTGAAAAGTAGACTGATACAGTTTCAATTTGCTTAGACACAATCTACACTGTAAAAGTGCTTTAGAAATAAAGATTAATTGAATTGAAATGAACTGATTAAATACCCAAGGTTCCATCATGTTTTTTGATTAAATTTTTAAAGTTGTGGTATTCTTTTTGAATCACCCGGTACATTATTTTCAATGTCTGGGTAAAACACAAAAACCTTTTTTCCCCTTTTAACACAATATATTTTAAGATGTTATTATTATTATTATTATTATTATTATTATTATTATTATTATTATTATTATTATTACTATTTTGAGAAACGTTTAAAGTATATTGGAACCATAAATATGTCAGACTAAATCATTAAAATGAATCATTGACTTCTGCTGTTTTCAATTGTTTCAAAAACACTGATTTCTTTACAATGTAAAACAGCATCTTTGGATGTCTTTTTGCTGAAGATATTGTTGTCCTAAAAAAACAGAGAAAAAAAAATGTTTTTACACATACTGTATGAACAGTGTGGTAGAAAACTTTTGCAGTTTTAAAACCTTGACTTTTCCAAAACGCAGTATACCTTGAAAATGGTTATTGTCTCATGCCTACTTTGCAATGTTATCACATATTTCTTTGCTTCAAAACAAAGTTTGTAATTTTGCAACCCACTTCATAGCTGGCTTATTTGGTTTAGGGTTTACAATATTTCACCAAAGGGTTTTTTTCAGTCTCTTTGATTATCATTTTTTTATTTCTATATAACTTTCTGTACAGTGCCTGAGAAAGCTCAAACACGCTGCATGTTAAGAAACACATGCAAATGGAAATATTTAGGAAAACATCATTTTGCTTATTTTACTCCTTAATCATTCTGTACACATTATTGGTGCAAAAATGATTACCTTGCAGCACATTTGAGCTCTCTAGGCCACCAAACCTAAGAATTCTTCCACATCTAAAGTGTATGAACAAGGTGACACTGCACCCGCTTTGAATCACTTGATTAAATGGGTGTTATCAATGGTTATCAGCTAATAGATATGGGTCAGTAAGGGCCTATAGTGCCTACTGGCAGGCTATTATCATCCATCCACATGGTTAATCAGCTATACTAATAGATAGGACTCCAGATCCAGATCAGTTTTTACATTACTGTGTTGGGTTTAGGGTTGGGGTGGGGGTAGACGTTAATGAAATACAATTAATGGGAAATTTAATAAATCATATAAATAATTCTTGTTAACTTCCGTTCGCAGCCACATGTGCTCTATAGCTGATTGACCATGTGGATGGATGATAACAGCCTTCTGAGCTGGCTCATATCTATCAGCTGATAACACCCATTCAATCGAGTAATAACATTGGAATCCTCTTTAAACCTGCTGATGATAAGTAACTTTGCAACTACAGTACAGTACATCTGTAATGTACAATCACCAATCAGTCATTAGAATAAGCAGACTTTCGAATATCTGCTAACATGTTTTTTGATTGCCCTTCAACAGGCATTGTGCATATGTGCCTTTGCAAGTCAAATTAATCTGCTAACCCTAACCTAACCATCTACTAATAAACTAATGTATTGTTTACATGTAATTGCAAACTTAGTGGAGACCATCAAAGCACAAACAAAAATAACAGATTTCCCTGCTCAAACAAGACACACACATACAGTTTTATGCTTGTACTTTCTTTTATTATTTATTTTTCTCAGAGCTGTTTGATGTTACTATTTTATAGCATTTTATACAAGACAGATGTGCAATATTTAATAGGAACTATCATAAACTCAAATATTTTCTCCAGAGGAAATTGAGAAGAATTAGCATGCACTTGCTTGAAGAGAAATATTTGATTACGCTTTTGAATTTAATGCCTCTTTCCTTTAATCTAAGCAGTCTGTTTATGACAGGCAACGTCCATTTACAAATGTACAGATTGGAAATTTATCTCAGCTTGTATGGTTAATTAACTCAACTTGTTTAGAGACATCATTATAAAAATGCCATTTTGTTTATGTATTCATTTAGTCATTGGTTTTTCTTTTTATGAGCATCATTTTCAGTCTCATTATTTAAATAGCATATAAAAAAGAGTATTCTAAATATAATAATCCACCCACTAGAATCTATCACGTTTCTGTAATGTTATGTATTTTTTTCAACTTTCCTTTTTATACCTATTTATTAATTTGTAAAATAAATAAAATCCAATGTAGATAAACAATTCTCTCTGTAGTTTAGCAATAGTGAATACATTAAAAATGGTTAAGTTATACACTGAAAAATTTACAAATAATTTAATTACTGTATGTTTAAGCCCATAACATAAACCACACAACCCATAGAAGTTCTTCCTGTTTGACAGCTCAGTCCCCATGTTGGCAGTTGTCTTGGACACAAATTAAACACAAATAAGCAAATCCCATATGCTAATCACGTTTAGACGAAAGTAAAAAAGCGAATTGTCCAATTAACCTGACAGTGGACTTTTATTTTTCAAGTTAATGCTTTTTTAAATGACCATATAATAAATACGAGGAAAGTAAGCATCTCCGATGCTGGAGGAGGAGAAAAAAATCCCAACAAGAGAGCCAACAAGTCATATTTGTGTAACACAAGGTCGTCTCAGACATGACTGTGTTGTTGTACGTCGATGCCCTTGTGCGCTCAGCCAGTGCGCAGCGGTCAGATTCATGCGGTGATATGTTTTCATTGCGCCCGCTCTGACGTGAAGAGCGACAAAGCCCCGAGGGTCGGACATGTAACTTCAGTTTCGTGGGAGAAAGCATTTCTCTGCGCCACAGAAAACAGACGATAAGTGGAACTGGAAGTGCTCTTTTTCTGTTTGTGTTCTTCACTATCACCGACTCGGAAAAACTACGGCAGTTCTGAAGCCACAGGCACGCTGGTGGACACATAAGGATTTTCTGATGAAAGTCAAGGTTGTCCGGCTTAAAGTCGAGGTTATCCAGCGAGGAAGATTTATTGCTTCTCACTGGAGTGCGGAGAGATTTTCTTAGTTCACGTAAACAAGCAACTTATGTTTGAACGATGTTCAATTATGCGTTTGTACGATGCAGGAATAACCGGTGATGATTTGCACGACAAAACCGACTTACTTGGCGTCTGAAGTTTAGTCGTTTGTAACCTAACATCTCTTAGATAAAAGTTTGAAAAGATAATCTAACGTCTGTAAATTCAAATCCTATCCACATTTGGAGAACGCTGACATAAACGCGCGCTATCTTTTCGTCCCAAATTGGAGGAATGCTTCGACGCTCTTGTTGGAAGGATATGCTCAGTTTCATCAAATAAACGCCAGTTGCTGTTTATTTACTAACTTACTTGTCGAAAGTCCCAATAGGAGATATCCAAGTTCTGGAATTGTAAGGTTTGAAGTGATTCTGACGTTTTCTTCAACCCGCATCTGACTGTTGGAAATGAACCTGAGGTGTGAAAAGGACGTTCGTTAAATAAGCGTTGGATTTGTCCGCGAACATTTACGGAATCCTGGATACCTCAACGGGGATTCGAATGGGATCTATCATGATTCTCCTGAATATTCTGAGCGTCCTGTTTTTATCTGGTAAGTAATACAACTATATCACACGAGAGGCAAAAGTATCAACCCGAGAGGGTGAAAGAATAATGAAATCCCACGCAGACAATCATGTATCAAATTGAGATATTGAATGATAGGGTTTAACTGCGTAAAGTGGACAGCTGACGGTTTACAGAATGAACTCGTTCTCCTTTCATACTGCCAGTCTTCCATTTGATTGTCTCATATACAGCATCACTCAATCAGAGATTAAACGAACTGTGTAATACTAGAGAGACTGTTTCTCGTTCCAGATTAAGTTCCAGTTCAATGCTCGTTATTTTACGATGCATTAACGCCTGCTTCCCAAAGAGCAGAAGATAGCAGAATATTTAGCAGAACTTCAGGGCATTAGTACGTGAACTGTCAGGTCCAAAAGTCCTGAACTAAGGACACAGTGAAAAGTCAGTCTCCTGAACTTGAAAATGTAATGGAAATAGTCAATAAAATGTTTAGAAAAAATATATAAATAAATAAAATGCAATAAAATGTATTTTTATTGAATAAGAAAACAATTTAACATTTATGGTTACATATGTGAAAATAAATGCAAAATAAATGTCGGCTTGCTCATCATTCATTCATTACATTTTTGTAATGCATAACCCCAGGGTTCAGCGCATTTTTTTAACCTGCCGTCAAATTAACCATCGAAATCATGGTCATATAAGGTAACTATAGCAACAATATGATGTTCCAGCACTTTCAGTTTGAATCGATGTACTGCACCGGCGAAAAATACAATATTTTAATACCTCACAACCACAACGGCAATTTATTAACGTATGAATATATCTTCACAAAACACTGTTTTATGCTGAATGAACTCAATTTTGCCTCGTTCAGTCTGATAAATAGCAATTACGCTAAAGAAAGTTCCTTATAAAGATACGCCTGGTTGGCCATGAAGCAAAATTCAGGCCTAGCACGTGGGTAAGTTGTTAAGATGTGCTATCATTTATTTGTTCATTTCAAATGTCCTTGTGGAATTTAAATTTAACGTTTTACGTTCTAAAGCTAATGATGCTTTTGTAAAACATGTTGCAGTGATGAAGTACTAACCTCTATTACGTTAACATTTAATCTGTTTTTAATAGTTTTTTTATTTTTAGTTGTTTTTTGTTTCTTATATTTGTTTCTTTTATTTTTGTTTATGTAAAGCACGTTGAATTACCATTGCATATGAAATGTGCTATATTAAACCTGCCTTGCCTTGGCAAATGGAGGAACTGTCCATGGTGCTGAAAACACTAGAGAAACGACAATAAAGTAACCAATAAAGCAAACGTATCAGTTCATACAGCTATTGACCACTTATTACTTTACTTTTTAACTGGTTCTGATGCTATTGTGTTTGACATTTTCTCAAACGTAACTTAAGGCTCTCATATTCAGTAATGTTGAGTAATTCAATAAAAGTGCCAACCAGAGTAGTTGCTGAATTCGTCGACAGGAGTCGCTCTACTCAGGTTTAAAGGGATAGTTCACCCAAAAAGGATTATTTGCAGTGAATTTACTCAATTTACTAAGGCCGTCAAGAGATTTTTTAGCAATATATTTAAAAATATTTAAATTGAAATAGTGATCATTGGTGATTCAAAAAATGCAAATCAACCAAAAAGAAAAAAAAAAACATAAGCAAAACAACATTATAACCTATGGCTCTAGAAAATACATACAGGAGTTTTTTTGAAGTGAAAACATTACTTTCTGATACATAACAGTGTGTATCAAACATTTTAAATCTGCAAAGTAAAATGTCTAGATTGAGACCTGCACATATATGTTGCACCATTTTAATAAACAAATGAAATGTGCCCATCTCTGTATGACGCAAATGGCATTAGTTCATGTGTCAGTTTGTGTCTGCACATACTTCATTATAAGGGAGCATGTGCTCCAGATTGTCAAATACATATTTAACCATGTTTGCTGAGGCTTGGATTAAAGGAAATAATGCTGCACATAATGTTTGTGCCACAGACCAATTGTTTTACTTCACAAGAACTCAGTGTATCGCCAGGAGCCATTGGAATTAGTTTTGTTTATCTGCCTACTTTTTTGACTCTCAAACTTCTGAATATTTTACTAGAGAAGAAAAGTCACTTTAGGCCCTTTAGCACTAAGCACAATTAAACTGTGTGGATGTATGATTTAATGACACTCAACAGTGTGAAAACAACAGATCCCCTTGGAGCTATTCATAGTAAGCGCAATCAATCGCAACAAAGTTTTCAACCTGGTTACAATAAATCTCCCAAAAAAAAAAAAAAAAAAAAAAACATTCTGAGGCGATTTTTTTATAAATCATAAGCTTGATAGATAGTTTGGTACAAAATACTAAATAGTTTCTTGACAATTCACTTTACTATATCAAGTTCAAGGTGAAAAGCCTTACATATTCAATGGTCTGAATGGTTGAACTACTTCTTTCCATTGGTCAACCTGTCCCACCTGTGGAAAACTGGTGAATTAAGTCTTGAGTTCATTCATAACAACTTAATGGTGCAACTGTGGCCTAATGGTTAGAGAGTTGGACTTGAGATCCAAAGGTTTGAGTCCTGGCACCATCAAGGATTGTTGGTAGGGGGAGTGAATAAATGTCCAACTCGATACCACGGCTGAAGTGAATTTTCTGAGCAAGACACTGAACCCCCCACTGCTCCTTGTGCTCATGGCTCTAAGTCGATTTGGATGAAAGTGTCAGCTAAATGCATACATGTAACATTTTTTTTTCCATTATGTAAAATAAATTTAAAAAAAAGTCTAATCTAATCTAAAAATGCCAATGCTCTTTCTGCAGATGAGGTGGCACTTTCCATGGCAAGCCATTCAACCTTGTCAGGGTTGGGAACTCATGGATGGAGGGCCCCTATGGACTGCCTGAGGGCCAGTGAGGTGTGCAACCAAAACTCGCAGTGCAGCTCACGTTTTCGCATCATGCGCCAGTGCCTGGTAGGTCGTGACAGGACTACCATGCTGGCCAACAGGGAGTGTCAAGCTGCCCTCGAGGTTCTGCAGGACAGTCCACTGTATGACTGCCGGTGCAAGAGGGGCATGAAGAGGGAGCTTCAGTGTCTGCAGAGCTACTGGAGTATTCATATGGGTCTCAATGAAGGTAAGGCTGAGTTTCTTTTCTGCTCTATTCCATTTAGAGACAGTTATGCACATTTGGATCTTGTGGAAAGTGTTAAAATATGAAGGTGCTTGTTTAAGCATCACAATCTGCCCAAGACAATTGCTCATCCTACAGCGATTGCCAAATGGATATTCACTGGCCTAAAATTCACCTCAAAATTTGGACCAGTGAATTTCCATTTGGCAATCATCCCGAATTATGGGCCAGTGAATATTTGTTTGGCAATCACTGTGACACATGCCTCTTAAGGGCCGTACAGACAAAAAATATGACTTGGTGATGATTTACAGTGTTGATCTAAACTCATAATTCAAATAAAGCTATTAAAACATTAATTTTCATTTAAAAATTCAACATTTAAGATATAAAATGAGTAATTATATATAAAAACTACACTATAACCAAATTAGGTACATTAGTTCCACTTTTTTTTTTACCTTGAAATTATTAATAGTAAGGTCCCACTTTATATTAGGTGGCCTTAACTACTATGTACTTACATAAAAAAATATCAATTCAGTGTACTTAATGTGTTGATAATATTTTGCATAACAGTTCTATTACTCTTGAGGTGGGATATGAATAAGGTCAGCGAAAGTTTTGGTGGTATGGGTAGGTTTAAGGTGTAAGAGATGGTCAACAGTGTAAATATTAATGTAATTACAGAAAATAAATGCATGCAGGTAATTCATAAAGCATAAGTACAATGTAAAAACAAGTTTTTACACAATAAGTACATCGTAATGACACATTTGTACATTTGTTAAGGCAACTCAATATATAGTGGGACCAAAAATTATCTGTTGTGCACGTGTAGAGAACAGCATCAGAGTTCAGGAACAACACCAGCAAATGTTCATTTTGTCTGAACAGTCTCTATAAGAGATATTTGATTGTTGAAATATTGTCCATCAAAGTGGTCTTGGTGGAATCTTGTAAACAAATGAGTGTTAGTTGCTCCTCTAAGTGCTGCATAATAGATGATTTGTTGTTTTTTACATGGCACAAGGGAGAACTGTAGTGTAGATTTAGGGTGCCGTCGATGAGCAGGGCAGACAATTAGCCAGATTGCACAGAAAGTCAACGCATACCTGCTCTCTTTACAGTCAGTCCATCACGGAAGCGTTCCGACTTCTGAGATGGCAGTTAGCATTTGCCTTTGGGAGTGTTAGGGAATCATTATAGGATTTAAGGAGTGCAAATCGGCCTGAATTATAACCCATCTGCTTTGGCAGTTGCTGCGGGAGCCACAACAAATAGGGTCCTATTGATGCGAGTAATCAGAGAGCCTTTTAAAGCAACTGCCCCTCTCAAGTCTGGCATTTCAATGAGGCATTGTGGACTGCTGGGCCTGCTTACTGCCTGCTGAGGTAAGGGGAAAAATAAAAATCACACAGCTTCCTTTCATCAGAAGCTGTGTACAAACAGATTAGGAACTGCAGAAAGTTAATACCATGCAAATGTGCCACATTCCAGCCATTGCATTGGAGGACACAGAGAATAAGAAATGATGCAACAAACGTTAGCACAGATTAAGATGTTCGTAGAAGGAATCTGCAATTAGCAGAAAGTCATTGTAGAAGTTTACTTCTATACTGCCTCGGTTCTCAAACAAACAATTAGTTCTTTGAGCATTTGTCTATTGATGTGGCTCCAGCACTTGAAAATGGTTGGACCCAGTTTTGTGTCCTACTTTGGACAGCACCAGTCCTCATTATGATGCTTTTTTCTTGCGACTTTGCTCTTCAATCCACTACAGCCATTTCACTGAGCTTCAGAAAAATACAGGTTGCTCTCAAATGATGGTGAGGGACCATGTGGCAATGATTGCACCTTGACAAAACTCTATCAAATCCACAGACGCTGCACAATTGGCCAAAAGAGCGCCCTCAATAATCACACAAACTAAGAGTGGACCCATCAAATGTTCATTCTTTTGGCCATTCCGTTTGAATGGAGTGGATTTTCTATTTCTAAAGAAACGTGTCTCTCTAAACCAAAACAAAACAGGTCAAAACTTGGACACAGTAGGCAAGAATTTAGAACTGCATAGTAGAAAACGTAAACTCGAAAACATGGGCTTAATTTATTATATTACTTAAATATATAGGTTCTGAAATGGCACATGTAGCAACAATGACATGAAGTCTTTTTTCTTAGGTTCTACATCTTTTTGTTTTGTTTTTTGTGAAGTTGTGATAGGAATGTGTGAATCATTGGTTTATGATCCGTGCTGGGCACTTTAAATAAAACTGTAGTCTGTAAATAATTACAAATCACAAGATTAATTCTTTAAACAATTTGACTATGGGTCATGGGTTTAAACTACATTATTTGCAAAAGGTTTCAGTCATTTGACTACAGAAGACAATACTTTGTAAAAACATAACTGTTTCACAAATGTAAATAAAAATCAATGGTTTGTCACAAGGTTGCAATCAGTGTGAAATCACTGAAATTAAATAACTTAGTGGCTCTCATTTACTTTGTCACAGATTGTGGAATGCCACGTTTCAGGTGATGTGTGCTTAGATGAGAAATGAGCAACTTCATGGAATGGACTGGGAATATATTTTCAGCAATGACCAATTTAAATCATCTTTTATATCTCTGTACTCTGTGTAGGGAGGATTGCAAAACATAATTATTTCGATTATGTTTGGTACAGATTTTGACATATTTGCAATAAATTATTATCTTCTGTTTATATTTTGCATACTTTTTAGAAATGTTTATATTTAAGTAGACATAGTAATGAGATCATTAATGCAAATCAATTGTAATGCTCTGTTGCTACAAAAATCAGTTTGGTCCATTTGGTCAATTATGTTGTCACTATAAAATGGTGAAATAAATTGTGTTAAGGAATCTACAAAAAACGTAAATATTTTATCGATAAAATGATAAGTGCATTTATATGTTTATGACATATAAAAATGTAAATATAAAAAAAAAAACTAGTTGTTGTTTCAGCATCAGTCCAAATGAAAAACAAAAACAAACAAACAAACAAACAAAAAATGCTGTAAATGCTTAATATAAATACCTAAACGATGAGGTCAGGCTGATGTCTAAAAAGTCAGAGAGTAGAAGAAAGAGTGTGCTTCCCATAGACAACAGGTAATTCAGTGGTAAAAACAAAGATTGTCTGTCACTTCTATCATATTACTTCTCAGGTTTGTTTTGCTTGGTCAATGTCTTTGAGGGTTATGGTTGATTTCCTGTTGTAGACACTAAAGAAATAACTTAAATAGTTTGCTGAAAGTGATGTGAAATTGTAATGGGTCATACCCCTTTTAGGAACTATTTTTGCTGTCATACAGTAGATAGAGAACAAAAATAGGTGTTCTAAAAGCAAAAACTCAGTTTATTTTCTCGATAGAAAATGAAATTTTCGACTTTAAAAAAAGTTTTTGGATAGAAAACATACACTCACCGGCCACTTTATTAGGTACACCGCACTGGTACTGGGTTGGACCCACTTTTGCCTTCAGAGCTGCCTTAATCCTTTGTGGCATACATTTAACAAGGTACTGGAAATATTCCTCTGAGAATTTGACATGATTGACGTTGACATGATAGCATCTCGCAGTTGCTGCAAAGTTGTTGGCTACACATCTGTGATATGCATCTCCTATTCCACCACATTCCAAAAGTGCTCTATTGCATTAAGTCTGGTTACTGAAGGCCATTTGAGCCATTTTGATTCTTGAACATACAACTCATAGTCATGGTCAAGAAACCATTCTGAGATGGTTCACCATTTATGACATGCTATATTATTCTGCTAGAAGTAGTCATCAGACAATTGGTATACTGTGGTCATAAAGGGATGGACATGGTCAGCAACAATACTTAGGTAGGCTTTGGCGTTGACACGATGTTCAACAAATGGACCAAAGTTTGCCAAGAAAATATCCCCCATACCATAACACCATCATAACCTGCCTGAGCCATTGACACAGGGCAGGATGGATCTATGTTTTATGTTATTGATGTCAAATTCTGACCCTACTATCTTAATGTCTCAGCAGAAATGGAGACTCATCTGACCAGGCAACTTTTTTCCAATCTTGTATTGTCTAATTTTGGTATGCCTGTGTGAATTGTAGTCTCAGTTTCCTTTTCTTAGCTGACAGAAGTGGCACCTGGTGTGGCCTTCTGTTACTGGTTCGATGTGTTATGTGTTCAGAGATGCTCTTCTGCATACCTCATTTGTAACGAGTAGGGTTGTAACGGTATGAATTTTTCACGGTATGATAATCGTCTAAAACAATACCACGGTTTGACGGTTTCGCGGTATACGGTATGTTACAAATGTTACAAAATAATAGAACAGTGAAGCAAATTTGACTTTTTCCAAATAATATATTTTTAGTTACTATAAACAACACCACTTACAATAAACAAATAAAAATAAGAAAATAATAAATAATGTGTCAAAGTCCAAATAAAGTCCAAATAAACATGGTGCAAATCCTCAGTAAAAAATAGATATAAATATTTACTATACTATAAATAGTTACATAACGAAACTAGATTCAATATGGAACATCCTTAGGTTTTATGTGCCAGCATGGATATGGTTGTCTATCGATATGGATTTGGATATGGTTGTCTGCAATGCAGACAAACAGCTGCATCTTCATTTGCGTCTTTTGAAAACAGCAAGAGCAGCAGTTCGTCTTTGCTGTGTCACTGTTTTGTCATGTTTATGTGCTGCTGTGCATGCAAAAGTACTTAGTATGAGAATTATTTCATGCAAAACTTTTTTTTATTGCGTTTTATTTAGCCGCGCATAAATGTATGCCTATAATATATAATTATAATGCCTATAATATATAATTCCGTGTTGTTCAAAAAGCTTGGTCCACAAACAAAAGCTTGGTCCACAAACAAAAGCGAAACCTATGCTTATTGGTTGTGATATAGCGAGTTTGAACCAATCTGGGCATGGAGGAGGGACAATGCATCAATGTATCATGTCTGATTTGTCCGGAGACACAGTGACGAGCGTTTCTTTGTCAAATCAGCGTTGTCAAATGTTGATGATGTAACCGGACTGATTCCGGAGCCT